GAAGTTCACCATGATTAGCTGAAGGGGTGTCGTGAGCTAGACCTAGGGAAAGGGTATGAGACTGATTTCACTGAATTCTAGTGTTGGGGAATTCCTGGACCCAGGAGTGATCCCTGGGCTCCAGACTCCACCAGAATTCAATTTGGGCTGGAAGGAGACTGGCTAGGGACTGTAGTCCCAGCTGTGCCACAATAAACTATTTATTGAACTTCAGGAATAAGGATAAGAAAAAACCTCAAGGCATAACATACAATACAAAATAAAATCCTATACCTTAAAATGGAGCATATTCCAGTCTGCCTGCCAAGACCCACACAGAATCACAGCTGTTGGTGTGCAGCCTAGAGTAACACAAATAATATATACCCTTCTGCAGTCTATAGAACCAAGTGTAGCTATCAATTAAGAATGTGACAAGTTTGACAAGGTACATCCCCTTATGGGTTGGCAGTATGAACGTTGCCCAAAAGTAGTTTATTACCTGTGAGGTCAGAAGGATCCAGGCAACCTCCCTGTCAAGGAGGAGTCCAGGAGCCACATACACTGATTATCGATATGTTTAGACTAGAGGCTGGTACCATTGTTTCTGGATGCATCCTTTTCAATGGAGCCCCAGATCACAAATATTTGCCAGACTGGTGTTTCTTCAGTTGCACCAAGTCAGGCAACTGGCTCCCTTCTTGTCTCACCCTGACCTAGCCACAGTAATCCATACAACAGTCACCTGCAGGCTAGACTACAGTAACTCGCTCTACTGACCCAGATGTTGCAACTGGTCCAGAATGCAGCGGCTTGGGTTCTTACTAGAACCCCACCAACAGCACATATCCAATCTGTGCTTCACCAGCTGCACTGGCTCCAGGCTGAATACCCGATTAGGTTCAAGGTTTTGGTGTTAACCTTCAAGGACCTAAATGGTCTGGGATCAATGTACCTTCGGGAATGCCTCTCCTGGCATACCCCCTGAAGAGTGTTATGCTCAGTGGAGAAAAATCTACTGGTGGTCCCTGGCCCAAAAAACATCTGGCTGCCCCTTTTCAGCCCTGACTGCAAGCTGGTGGAAATCTCTGACAAATGACACCCCCATACCCTGTAGGATCTAATGCAGTTCCGCAGGGCTTGTAAGGCAGAGATGTTCCACCAGGCTTGAGGATAGCAACAGTTAATCAACAATTTTTATTCAGTCTGGCTCCTTCTTTCCTTTTTCATTGGGATGAGGATTTAATCTGGCCCACTCTAGGTACCTCTGGAACAAATTTTGAACTGTTTTAATATGTTACTGCTTTATTGTTCTATTGTATCTAAATCTGATTTGAATGTATTTTATGAGATGTTGTACACCACCCCGAGCCCCAATATTTTGGGGGAGGGTGGTCTAGAAATTAAAATTATAAATAAAAAAGATTATTTTAGGATCATTAGGTAATGAATAACAGGTAATTTCACTAATTATGGAAAGTATATTTGTCCAGTGTTTTTTTTTAAAAAAAAATAAGAGGACAGATTCTGAATATGTCCAAAATTAGTTAAGTGTCTGTGGATTTTTACTTAAAACCTTTTTACAGAGCTGCTTAGCACAAAGTAGATATTTAACAAATTCATTTAATAAATGAGTTGTTACTGTGAAGGAGAGGAAGGCTTTCCTTGAACAACATCCTGTTGGTTCACTGGTGTTCTGTTTGATGCCACAGTCATACTCTCTTGGCTAAATTTCCCAATACAGTTTTATAGAAATCTGAGGCAGCTATTTTGGCTTGGCCAGCTTTCTTATTAAAGAGAGCTGGAAGTGTAAAGTATGGGCGCCATCTGCTGGTTCATCTTTTGCTCTAATTACTTCATTCTGGCAAGGGTCATTTCATACAATTGTATGCTGACATGTCCAGCTCTTAATGCAGGACTGGAGGCTTGAGCCAGGTTGGCAAAACAGAAGAGGTTTGTAACACACCTCTCAGTGATAGATCCAGGTGGGCAGCTGTGTTGGTCTGAAGCAGTGGAACAAAGTTTGAGTCTAGTGGCACCTTTAAGACCAACAAAGTTTTATTCAAGGTATGAGCTTTTGTGGGCATGCGCACTTCCTCAGAAACAATGAAATGGAATTTACCAGTCCATACATATAAGGCAGAGGTTGAACAGCAAATTAGCATACAACATAATACTAATCAAAATCAAATAATGAAGATGTTTTAACAGATGCAAACAGAAATAACAAGCTAAATTTATCAGGTCACCATTGTTTGGGTTTAAGTCCAGGGGGGATTAAATTTTCTTCACTGCCCCCCCCCAAGATATGAGAGAGAGAGAGACAAACAAACACACAGAGAGACTCTTTCAGGAAATCACTAATGCAGAATACTGCCTTCTTCCCATATTTAAAATAAGTGTATTTATACCTATATTGGTGGGTAAGACAACTAAAAAAACACGCTGGAAAGGCATGGTTTAAACTTTAGAATGGGGAGAGTTCTGTGGAAAACAGCTTGCCTTTTTGCTTTTAGCGACTCCGTCTGAGATTTAACGTTGCTTTGGACTGGAGACCTTTGGAGAAGATCTTTCAATTAATTTTGTGGCAATCCTAACAAAAAAGATGTTCTGGGGTTCAAGCCCTGCTGCCTTTTGCCGTTAAAGCCTTCTCCTTAAGCCCCGCCTAGTAGAGACAGGCAGGCTAGCTATGATCTCACACACAAACCCTCGACTCAAGACGTCTTCTAAGTACTCCTTCGGGGCCGACCACGGAACGTTACTTTTCCTCTCTTGTGCTCTGTACGGAAACCATTTTGAAAGGACCGCATAGGAACCAGCTGCGTCATTGTCATGGTGATTGCCCGGAAGAAGCGAGTCCAACGTTCAAAAGGTCCCCTCATCTGGTTATTTCGATGTTAGAAAGGCGCAGCGTGAGATAAGTGGACGTACCAGAGGGGAACGGAGGTATCTACAGATTGTTTTAGAGAGGTGGTGAAGCTTGGTACTTCGCCCGCTTGCACAGATAGAGGGTTCCTTTTCGCGTTGTGTTTCCTTATTAGGGCCAGGTGGCGCTAGCAGTGAGTGGGGTGTTATGCTGGTAGGGTTGGTAGCTCTGGGTCGGGAAATACCTGGAGGTTTTGTGGGTGGAGCCTGGGGAAGGTGAGATTTGGGGAGGGGAGGGACCTCAGAAGGGTGTAATTCCATCGAGTCTACCCTTCAAAGCAGCCATTTTCTCCCGGGGAACTGATCTTTGTTGTCTAGAGATCTGTTGTAATAGCCTGGAGGTTGGCAGCCCTATCTGCTGGGGGCTGTAAGGCCAGTGTTGCTATGACCCCACAGTTAGCAATCTTGTCTGTCTTGTCGACTGACAACCCTGCTTTTTTTAAAAAAAAAACGCCATAAATACCAGGATATAGCTTGAGGAAAGGTTAAATTTGCAACCATTATAGTGAGAAAAAAAGTTCTGGTGTTTCAGGCGAAGTGTCTGCCCAAAGTAGCATCCTGTTTCCCACACTGACTGAGTAGTTACCTTTAGAAGGCTCACAACAGGGGTTAAAGCATCCCCGTCTTGTCCTCTTGCAATTATATTTTTAAAAGTAGGAATCCAGTGGCACTTTAGAGACTAATAATTTATTCCAGTATAAATTCTCATAAACCAGATGAAAGCTTATGCTGGAATAGTGTTAGTCTTTAAAATGCCTGTTTTATACTGCCACAGACTAATATGATTTTCCATCTGGTATTCACAGGTGTGCTGTCTCTTGACATGGAGACTCTATTGAGTTGCTGTAACTGATAAACAATGATAGAACTAGTGTCTATCAATTTGTTTAGTCTACATTTAAAACCATCTAAGCTTGTGGTGATCACTTTATACTGAGATAGGCAGTTTTGCTAATTAATTTATATAGTATCTGAACTGCTATGCAGATGCTTGATGATGTTTTTTCCCATAGTCCCATTTAGTTGCCCAGATGACTTTTATTTGCTACATTATGTACTACTTTGCTGCTATGAAAAGCCTCCCAGGAGGAAAAGTGTTAGCAGTTCTAGTTGGACCTCTGTTCTAAAATCTCTTGGAAATGTTGGACTTCAGGCCTGGTACATATAAGATAATAGGAAATTACTTTGGTCCCCCCCCCCAAGTGCATCTGGCTTCTGTGTATGATCAGGACTGAAGGCATTGTTTCTAGATCACAGCATATATATACTGTGTGTGTATATATATATCAGTATTTTAGTCAAATAATTGTCAAGGCAGTTTATCAGTGACAGATTAAATATAATCCAAAGTCTCCTTGGCAGTCCTTGGACCTCTGATCGGTGGCAGAGGCCAGATGTCCTTCCTCTCATGTCTGCAGTCCTTGGATAGAACACGTGTCTGTCCTTGGTATCTTTCTCCAGAAATATTTCTTTATGGTATTTATAAATGTATAAATGGCTTGCAGTTTTTCTTTAGTTAAACAGCAGAATTCTCACAGGCTGTTGGCGGCTATTCAGGTACTGATAGTGTGAGGCCCTTGGCCTGGGTTTCTGCCTCTCCTGCCTTCTCCTTGGGACACATAGGTGTTTTTGTAAATGTTGAAGACTTGGTAGACTTGCTCCAAGTGGTAAAGAACCCTCTAACTGACTTGTGCAGACTGTGTAATGATATTTAATTGTACAGCAGCTAACTTGTCTTGAATCTAAGAGTAGGCTGAGGATCTGCTATCTTTTCTTCTCACTGGATTTTCACCTGTAAATTTTCTTAGTAGTATTTTGGATGGATCACTGCCATTGCTGTGATGCCTGTTTCAGATGGAGTTCAGGATACTGAAACGTTCATGAAACTTTGAACATTGATAATATTTGTGTTGCTCCATCCTGTCTGTTGGACCAAGAGTTTTAAGTTTTTTAAAAAGGAAGAGATAGTGACTTTTCCTTCTCAGGAATCAACTAGAAAATTACGGTTGGTAGGTCTAGTGTTTTAAATGATAGTTAACATTTTCCATGACCAAATATAAGCATTTTATGGGTGGTTATTCTTTCAGGTTGCAGATATGTCAGGTCAAAGGAAGTGTCCAGACTGTGGCTCTTCAGAAATAGTAGAGGATTCTCACTATGCACAGAACCAGCTGGTATGTGCAGACTGTGGCTTCATCCTGACTGAAGGACTCCTCACAACCACTTACACTGATGAAGAGCATTTGCAAGGTGAGTTCAGATGTGGTAGAGTATATGCAGAGGGGGAAGGAACAAAACTATGCTTCACTCTAAAGCATATTTATTCAAGGCCCACTGGAACTAACGAATCTTGCTCCCATGTAAGGGAGACCAGACTTGCCTGTGTAGGAAAAGGCTCACGTCACATTTCTGCCCGTTTGATCCAGTTTTTGAATGAAATACATATTGTAGAAAAAGGCTCACGTCACACTATGCTACAGGTTATAAATTTCTGCCTGTTTGATCCAGTTTTTGAATGAAATACATATACTGGTTTATAGTCTGCATTATTTAATTATTCATTGCAATTATTTACAGTGTTTTCCCTTTAACTGCAGTGATTAGAAATGAATTGAAATAGCAGCCATAACTTCTGTTCATATAGTCTCTTGCTTAGCCATCCACTACTGATGCTGAAAGTGTCTTCCAGAAAATAATAAAATACTCTTGGTGCCCCACTGTTTTCAAAGATAGTTTCAGCACATAAAGATATATCAGTACATTTCTAAATGGTCATGGAAAGGAAATCAGGGAGGATCCGTGAAGCCATCTTGAGAACTAGCTGTTCTCAAGTGTATTATGAAAGAAAAAGCTAATAGTAGTATCTGGAGGATGCTCTGGGGCCATCACATTAAAGGCCTAATCATCCAGGGAGATGATGGGATACTCTATCTGACGACGGCAAATGAACCCAGAAAGTTCCCAGGGAGAGCACTGAAGAGCAGGTTTCTAATATAGCTAGACCCTACACCACTTTTGCAAACCAGTGCTTCACTGTGAGCTTTGAACAAGGCTGTTTTGTCTGATGTTATTTTTTTCCCCCTTCCCAGCGGTGACTTATTCACGAAGTACTGGTCAAAATGAACAGCTGAGCCGATGTGTGCTAAGAGGTAAGCGTTTCTTATTGTCCATTTGCAGTTTGGTGTAGCGGTTAAGAGTGTGGACTCTAATCCGGGAGAACTGGGTTTGATTCCCCACTCTTCCACATGCAGCTGCTGGTGTGACCTTGGGTCAGTTACAGGTTCTTTCAGAGCTGTTCTCTCAAGGGCAGTTCTCAAAACAGCTCTCACCCCTACCTACCTTACAGAGTGTCTGTTGTGGAGAGGGGAAGGGAAAGGGATTTTAAGCTATTCTGAGACTCCTTTGGGTAGTGAAGGGCAGGGTACACATCCAATCTCTTCTTCTTCTGCATCTTTGATACAAAAGTGTGCATGCCTGCCATCCACACAGGTGATACTCTTGCTGCTTTTCTGGAAGCAAAGAAGCTGCTACGTTTTTAACCTGCCTTTCCCCTTTGCTGGGAGACAAGATGAATATCTCCTGTTTGGTTCAGGGGTGTTTCCTTGACAGCCTTTCATGGTATAGTGGACAGAGATTGGACTTTGGTCTAATCTTGGCAGAGCCATATTCTGACTGGGTAACTTTTTATGAGTCTGAGACTTTGTCGACTATTCGGTGTGCATAATTGTACATACAAAATCAATATAAATTAAGGCTGGTTAGTGAGGCAATGCCATAAGGGAAAGGGAAAGCTGCATGCAACAATGAGTATGTATTGTCCAATTTAAGAATAAAACTCTGGAAGTGTTGGTTTAAAAATAATTCAGACTCCATTGTATTTTATCTCAGAAAATAATTGACTAACCAGAACAGACTATTTAAAATAGTGAAACCGATGTGGTTAATGGATCGTTAACATGCATGTATGTTTGGGTGAATCTACCCTGAGAGCTCTGGGCAGCTTACAGCAATTCATTCATGCGTTGATTTAAAACATTTCTCAAACTTTCTGAGCATGTGCTCCCTCTAAATTTGGTGTACCAATCCAATGCTTGCATGACAAAAGGGTAGTCAGGTGACTTTGATTACTCCTGAAACCCTAAACGGGGATATACCATTAGAACAAAGCAGCAAATCTTGAGTTGTCAAGGCAAGTCAACAGCTGCCCTGCCCATGTCTAAAGTGAGGCAATAAGAATCTTTTGCTAAAGGACATGTGATCTGCTGCTTTCCCTGCTGGTGAAAAGAAGATGGCTACATTTTTCTCAGAATCGTGTCTGTTCATGGACCTTCGTACTCTTGTTCCCTGTACTTCATAGGGCTACCCCACTGATGAAGAACCACTGATTTTTTTTGTGTGTGTGTGTGTGTGTATGTATATATGTATAGTGTCTTCCAGTGTGTGTGCCTGAGGTGGTTCACAATGATGAGTGAAAATCAGTCCCAAACATTACAGTCTGAGATAAGAATACAAAAACCATTCAGCCCACCAAAAGCCACTAAGAGCAATTAAAAACAACAACAGGCTGTTGTTGGGACTTCATCTGCTGTTACTGTTCCACCACTTTCTGGCCACTGCAGTGATCTTTCAGCAGTTCCTGGGGCAATGGGAAAGGCAACCTGAGGTGGCCTAGATGGAAAATTGCCTCAGTCCAGCTCCAAGATGTTTTGATGCCCTCAGAGATGATTAAAACAATGTGTGTCTTACACCTCCCAGCCAGTGCAGGATCTCTAGGTAGCTCACAAAGCTGGATATTTTATATAATTAGAACATAAGCATAGATTAAAAATTGACCAATTTTAAAAAGTCTTCATCTGGCACTAAAAAGTTAGCAAGCCTAGTGAACAGACAAGGAGAGGATTTTTCATAACCTGTGTGCTACAAATAAAAAGGCCCTTTTCTGTTGTCATTGCTTTGATAATGAACAGGGACAGACTTCCGGTTGATGGCAGCACGCTAGCAGACTTACCTCCCGGACCTCCCGGAGCTGAAGCTGTGCTCCAGCCGAAGGAGGGGGTGCGCAGGTTCGTCACCCCCCCTCCCGGGACCCGGTTGAAGGGGCTCTGGCCATGGGACTCCCGAGAGGTCGCCTCTTCGCCGGCGCAATGCCGGGGAATTGAGGCGCCTCTCCGTCCCAACGGTTCTTCAAGCTGTGAGGCCGAATGGAACTAAGTGACGTCGACGGGGGCAAGCGCAGGAAGTCGAGCGACAGAAACGGAGCTTAAACGAGGTCTGATGACCAATTATGAACGTGAGTCCAATTAAAGCGTACTAGTTAAAATGAAAAGAAAGCTCCCCACCCCACGGAACAGAAAGTGAGGTGAGCGGGGGAGGGACGCCTCCCATGCACACGAACTTTTAAGCGAATTGGACGGGGGGGAGCAGAAGAGAAAGCGAACAAAACTGTTGAGAAAGACTTACCAAGGCTAGCTTGAGTGTATAAGCGCATATTCAGAGACTTTTAAAATACTGGCTAAAGTAAACAATCTATAAAGATGGCGGGGAAGAGGACAGAGAAAGAGAAACTTCTAAAAGCGAAAGGAACTGAGAGCCCAAGACCGGAAGGAACCAACGAGCTGACAAAGACTTTGATGAAATCCATGCGCCCCCTGCTGGATCATATGAATAATCTCAAGGAGCAGCTGTCAACAGTGAACCAATGTATCACCACTCAGCAAAAACAGTTGAATGAGACTCTTAAAATGATGAATCAAACAGCTGAGAAGGTGAAAGAAGTGGACAATCCTGAAAGCGGCATCTGGAGCACCCTTGAAAGTTGGAGATAATACTATCAGAATTTTAAAAGACATTCCATTTGAAATAAGGCAAAGGAGAAAGAAGTATAAGGATTTAATTCTTTGTCTCCAGATAAATGCAATTGGATACAGATGGTTAACTCCAGAAGGCGTAACCTTCAAAATTAAAGACAAAAAGGAAAGCATGGGAATTTTTAAGAGTCCAGCTGGGAGAGCCAGAGAGGAAGAGAAAGAAGGGATGGACAGCAAGTCCAGTGGCGAGCTGGACTCGGGGGTCTTCCGGAGAGGACTCTCTATAAGAGAAAGGGGCAGCTGCCCCTAAAAGTCCTTACAAATTGCGTAAGAGACTGGGCAAGGGAAAATGAAGGATGAAGGACTCTGAATTGTGCCTTTGAAAATATTGACCCTAGATGCTTAGGGGTCTTTCTTGCTAACAGTTAAATTTAAGATTTGAAAAAGATAATACTATACTTGACTCAGTTCATAATGGGACTAGCGTGACTGAGAGATAACGTATGTTAAGCTAATTTGATGATCTCTCTTGGGTTTTTAGGTAGTAGTGGGTATCTTTTCTTTATTCCTAAATGTAGTCCCTTCCCTTATTTCTGTTGTAGTTTGTAGTCTTAATAAAAATGCAATAAAAAATCCCCTCCAGGGAGCAAAAAAAAAAGATAATGAACAGGGACAGAACAATGTCTCAGATAAACATCTTAGATTGTGCATGTATTTGTGTGTACATTAAAAAAACAAACACACCTGGACATGGTGTTTCCCCTGCAGGGATTGGGCGTGTTCGGGACCTCTGCAAAGTTCTTCACCTTCCCTCTCTGTTCGAAGACACAGCTGTGGCCTATTACCAACAGGCAATCAAACGCCCCTTCTTCCGCCTGGTCAGCTTGGAGAAGAAAGAGATCCTGGTGGGCTGTTGCGTCTTCGTGACCTGCCGGCAGCACAACTGGCCCCTGACCATGGGCTCCATCTGCTTGCTGCTCTATGCAGAAAAGGAACTGTTTGCCAAGACCTACTTGAGCTTCTTGAAGGAACTAGAACTAGATGTACCAGCTCTGAGCTTGATAGACCTGGTGAAAACTCACCTTGGCAGGTATTGTGAAATTCCTTTGCCCTTTCCCTAATGCGCTTCTCTAAGTTGTCGTGTAGCTGTCGAGGAAATAGAGACTTTTTTTGGAGATGAAATTTGCAGCCATAAGTGGCCCTCTCCTAGGTGAAGAGTAGTTGAGTAATTGTTCAGGAGTTTCCCTTGTGCTGACCTGGATAGCCCAGACAAGCCCTGTCTCACCAGATCTCAGAAGCTAAGCAGGGCCGACCCTGGCAAGTACTAGGAATATCAGGGCCAGGACGCAGAGGCAGGCATATCAAGCAACCTCTCTGAAATGTCCTAGCCCCACTAGGGGTCGCCAGATGTCACCACAACTTCCAGCCATGCAAGCACACGTGTGCACGCACGCACACAGAAGTTGCCCTTGTGCACTGCAGATAGCTGTGCATAGCAGAAGGAGCTTTCAGTACAATCTGAGGGTCACGTTAGATGTTGTGCTTTAAAGTATGACTGATGTCCAGATAACCATGAGTATATAATGTCTAGTAGAACTCACTCATGTACTGACGTTACATTTCTTGACAAGGGAATTGAGATTAAAAAGAAATCTGCATTGCAGCATGCTCTGGCTAAGCCAAGGAGAGAAATCTTGGGGTGCAAGTCCTCACAAGTGGGAAAGGAGCATGTACACAGTGGGGTCAAGTGCTGCAGCTTGCGCCACCCCACTATGAAAGTCATGAAACTGCTGCTGTTGTGACTTTTCTGGAACAATGTGTCAAGTGATCTGACATGCTACAGAGGTACCTGCATCTGCATCATTTGTCATTGGGATAAGAAAGGACTATTCACCTTTGTCAGAGATGCTGGTAGACAATCCAGAAGCAGACTGGGTTCCAGACTATCCCTTTCAGTTTAGCAGTATAACAACATAATGGTTCCCTCCAGTAACCTCATATAGTTGTAGGTAGCCTGTATTTATATAGTATATAGCATGTATATAAATGGTTACCAGGGCCTTCAAGGAGCCATCCCTTGCAAAGCAGCGACAGTTGCTATGGGGTGCTCACACTAGGGAAGGGCTCTGTGCACATTTTCACATATATCCTTAAAACTCCAAGCTCTGATGTGACACTGAAGATAATCATGCTGAGGTCCATCAGTGGCTATTAGCCACAAGGTATAGATAGGAGCTCTCAGTCTGGGGCAAGTGATGTTCTGTATTCTTGGTGCTTGGGGGGGGGGGGCAACAGTGGGAGGGCTTCTAGTGTCCTGGCCCCACTGCTGGACCTCCTGATGGCACCTGGTATTTTTTGCCACTGTGTGACAGAGTGTTGGACTGGATGGGCCATTGGCCTGATCCAACATTGGCTTCTCTTATGTTCTTATGTGTTTGTGAATATAACTCAGATTCATACTATCTATCTGTTTGGACTTGTTTGCAATATACATGGGAACAGGGATGCAGATGGCCTATATGAGTTCAGATCTTGGAATAGCAGCCCTGTGGTTGGAATGAATTCTCCATGCAGTTTTAAAACTGCCTTTGCAGCTGTGACCCCAAAGAGCTTTCTTTCCAAAGTGGAGATTTTCAAAATGGTAACTCCTGCCACCATATATCTCTGTGTTTGAACAGTGTGCAAACAGAATGCAAAGCCAGTCCTAGCCTGGAAGTGAAGCATAAAATGAGACTCAGATCTGTCCCTGTGGTTATATTTCAAGCTAAAAGATTGCCCTTTGCTGCCTGTCTTCTTGGTGTGTTAGAGGACTCAGCCCTCTCATTTCATTCGACCTTCCTAACAGCCTTCCACCTTTCTCTCTTCAGGTAGCTCCACCTGTCTAATGTCATTTCTGGCTTTATTTTTCCTCCTCCCAGCTTTAAGCTATTCCCGAACTCATCCAGTGTCCCAAGCAAGTTTGTGGAGGACAAGGAAAAACTGGTGGCCAGGACAATCCAGGTGGTGGAGCTTGCCAGTGAGACGTGGCTGGTGACCGGGCGGCACCCCATCCCCATAGTCACAGCGGCAGCCTACCTGGCTTGGCAGTCTCTGTGCCCTGCTGGTCGCCTCACTTGCACCCTTTCCCAGTTCTGCAAGCTTGCCGGAACGGACCTGCCGCCACCAGCTCCCCAGCGGCTGAAGGAACTTCATAACATCCTCCTCAGGATGGCATCCGAGCTCAGCTGGTTGCGAGTGCTCAAGGTGAACAAGAAGAGCGTGGCAAAACACATGGCAGACATTCTGCAGCACCGCCGCCTGCTCCTGCAAACTGCCTTCCGCACAGGGGACTTTGTGGGAGATGACTCCGTGGGCGACTCAGCAGCAGCGCCACTACAGCCCGGAGATAGAGACACAGAAGGGACCTCTCTTCCGGGAGAGAAGCGCAAGTGCAGCAGCGAGCGGCCCCCCTTGCTCCCACCCTGCCTCCTTAACCCCAGGAAGAAGTTGCGAGCAACCGTTTCCTGCTCAGAGCTCTCAGTCACTGGAGATGAGCCCATTCTGGACAGTGAAATAGAGCAATACCTTCGGACCCCAGAAGAAAAGGAGACATTCAGCAAAGCCCAAGCCTGCCTGCGATGCTGAAGCTGAAGGGATTCAGGGAGGCGTGCAGCCACTGTGCTGAGGTCTTCCGGTCTGCAGCTTAGGGTTCCAGAGCTGTTTCCCTCCCAACTGCCTGGTTGTGGGGAAGTGGCCTTTAAACACCTCTCGCCCAGAAAGGACCATGAGAACAAAAGAACCTGCTCTCTTCTACTAGAAAGTTGCTTAATGGTGTTTGTGTCAGTTGAGATGTAGTGTTTGTTTGTTTTTTAAATTGCTGCCGAATCTGGATTTGGTGTGCCTCTCTTTTCCAAGCCTTGAAGGGAAGAAATTATATAATGAGTGGGAGACAATGGAACTGAAAAATGTTTTGAGTACAAGTCTTCTTGGAACGAGGACTAACCATCTTGCTACATCCAAAGGGTTTTAGTTCTCTTTTGAAGGTCATTATCCCAGCCACTCAGAGATCTGCGTCCTACTGTCAAGGTGGATAAACTGCTGCACTGTTGTTTTCCCCCATGCTGTAACCACAACATTTGAAAGCAAGTGATCAGGCGTGTAGATTGATGACAATAGTTAGTGCCAACGCCGACTAATGACGCTGGCGAGGGAAGTAACCACATCATTGGCCTGTGCACATATTCAGTTCCTGCAAGATTAGTATGGCATGGAGCCATGGCCAGGCAGTTGTGATACTGCTGAAGTAATGCATATACATGTGGATAAGAAAGAGTCGCCTGTGAAAGTTCAGCCCCCTGCAATTGCGCCTTTACTATAACTACAGCCAGCCCTGCTTGGCTCTTAAACAAAGAGGAGGAACCAGAGGAAATGTAGCTTAAGGGGAAAAAATACGGCCACTTGGGGCAGCCTCTGCCTTTTTAGAAAGAATGTTTGCTTTGAGTACTTCTGTTTCTTTCGCCTGGTGCCTGCCCATACACTTGCCCAAACCTTGTCCCCTGGGGACCCCTGGATGTCACAGGGATTTCTTTCTTGTCACACTTGGCTTCTCTGTTATACCAATTTCAAAAATCAATAAATAATAATAAACAATTCATTGATAGACAAATAAGTTATATAAGATGTATTGTACAATGTTTCTGAATGTTTCTGTATTTTTATAGTGATATCCTTCAAGTTATTGGTTCCAGCTTGATAAAGCCATATTGGTGAAACGTGGAGCATATTGCGGAAGCCAGCAATCCCGTAGTTCTGCTTTTGGAACTATTCAAGTGTTCCTCTTCTGGAACTGTTGGAGTGGATATCTTCTGGAAGGCTCGCTTCCCCCCTTTAGACTGTGAAGCATATTGCTCATTAGGAGGGACTGAGCACTTTGAAGTGGTTTGGACTTTGTGAGCCATATACAGGACTTACGTTAAATCATCTATGCCCTGATTATGAATTGTGTGTTGTATGAATAATTTTGCTTAGGATTTGGAAATTGTATAAATGGTTTATTTATTTGTCTATAAATGAATTATTTGTTTATTATTATGTATCGATTTTTGAAATTGGTATTAATTTCTTTGTGTTCACATATACACTGTGGGCTTCACTATTATATTGGATTCCGTCAGTGTCATAAGCAACAGCCCAAGAGAAGTGGTGCAGGGGTCTGTTCATTCATGTATTCTGTTGCTCAGCCTGTGCTGCCCCACCCTCAGATCTCTGGGGAGTGGAGGGGGGGGAGGATCAAGGCTTTACAGTTGTGTAGCCGTGACAGGCTTGAGTCTGTGTTCAGCGACTGGGAATTCTGAAGGCTGCATACATCTGTTCATTGCTTTTGTTTAAAAAAAAACCCCAGAAACCTGGTGGGGCACCCTTGCAGCCAGACTTAATAAAAGCTGACTCTGACTTAACAGATACTGAATTGTTTGGGTTGTCCTTGCGTCAGAGGAGTGAGAAAGCACGAGCCAAATGTATTGGATGTTGCAAATCTTTTAATATATTAAACAAGAAACATCTGCTAGAAACAGTTCATTTATATAAAATGCAAACAAACACAACAATAATGAAAAACCCTTTAAATGGTTTCTTTGGCACAGTTGTCTCCTAAAGCTCTGTTTGATATGTCATATGCTCATAATGTAAACAGAAAAAAAAAAGAAAGGTAATAATACAAAGCTTTCCTGATTAATACTGTTTCGGTGTAGCAAGCATATATAACAAGTTCAGCATCGCCAATATCATGCGGTTTGCAGCATGGACATATGATATAGGCTTTATTAAATATAAAACTTATAAACCCAAGAAGGAATTTTCATAAAAGTGGGGGAAGAGTGTAAAAAAAAAAAAAGGATGACTTTAAGGGAGTCTGTAGGAAGTACTTGTCAGGTGCAAAGGAAGGAACCAGTTTTTTGGAAGCTGGAGAGAGGGGGAAAGGGTAAGTGCCCTGCAACCCCTTGATGGCTACATGCCAGCTCTTGGAGCCAGTGTGGATACTTGTGCTGACTTATGGCTGAATGGGCTGTCTGTTTGGCCTCTCCTGCATTACGTGGCGCTACCAGACAAATGGCCCTTGCAGTCCCTCGGAGGTAGGATTTGTGCAGGCAAGGAGGCTGAAAATGGCTGGCTGCCTGTGAGGTCTGTCTATGTCCAGAGGTGAGGACTTATATCTTAATAAACACTGAACAGTTGAATTTAAGTGACAATCATGCTACTATCGACCAGTATGAAGAACACTGGAAACTATTTCACAAAAGTCTCTTTCCCTCCTAAAACAAATGCACATTTGTGATACCTCAATCGACCTGGTGTCGTCCCCCCACCGGAGGCACTGAGTGTTTCCTAGGAAGATGTATGCTGCTCTCTTCTCTCCCCCCCCCCCTCCTGCCCAAGCTCAGTGTGTTAGTTTTTATTGTGGGTTCCCTACTAGGTTGTGTTTGCTGCTGCTTGTTATACAAACACTGCTAAGTGGTGGCCGGATTGTTCAGGGAAGTTCTGTTTCTCTGTTGCTGCCATTTCTCCACTGAAGTTTCTCTTTCCAGTCTCTGTGAATCGGCTTATACTGCATTTTGAACAGATATTCAGAGGGGCAACAACAGGGGGCAGCTGCCAGGCAGCCTCTGGCTGGCCACTATGTAGCAACGGGATACTGGCCTAAATGGACTGCAAGTCTGATCCAGCAGGGCTCTTTGTTCCTATGAATATCTGTGCTCTTAAAGTCTGCTATTACCTGATTAAAAGGGACCTCCATTACTAGCAGGTATTCCAGCCTAAAGCATCAGGACATTACAGTGCTTCCCTGCAGCAAGAGATCTACCAACAAGACACTGTGGAAGAGATTTATTTATTTTTTTTAGCTTGTTCTGGCTTTAGCCGATACAGCTTACCAAATAAGATTGTAACTGCAATGGACTATTCTAGATTATTCTGCCAGAAAGGTGAGCCTTGTACACATCATAGCAGTGATTTTTGCTGTGGGGTCATCCCACAGTAATAGTGTTATGCTGGGAAAGACCCAAATGGCCGGCCCTGCTGAGGAGGCTGCAGATCTTTCAGATTACTCTAGCACCACTGGAGGACTCCATAAAATGTGCTGCCAGTTAAAAGGCACCTAATGTTGGACTTCAGGTGTTTTTCATCAGTGCAGGTTGCCCTAACAGGAGCCACTTATGTTTTTGGAAGCTGTCTGCTCCCTTTGTCCTAAGTCAAAGTACTCGTTGTAGATAAAGGACAAAGAGAAACATGGACGGCTGTTGTTCTCAGCTGATTACAACTTGATTGTTGTAATATTGCATGAAGGGTTCTTTGATGTGCATGGGGAAGGGACAAAGACCATTACTGGCAGCTTTGTGGAGGGAATCTCCACACTATCAGCTCTGAAAGCTATCAAGAATACACAGCCCTTTCCTGAACCTCTATGCTTGCTCGTCTACACTCACAATGCTACAACCATCCCAGAAAGTGCACTCACCTGGGTGTTGCCTTGGTCTGGGTGTGTGAAAAAGGCTCATGAGAATTCTCTTGCTACATGTTTCAAGGCAATAGGCTTGAAGCCTGGTCTGTGTTTACGCTGCATTGCCTTCTTTTCCAGTACAAAACAAAGAGAAAAGTGGGTGGGCTAATTTTTGTGAGGCACATGCTCAGCCAACAGCCTTTGATTGTTTCTAACGCTTTTGTGTTTGCAGTGGGTGAGTCAGTTGTACAATTCATTACACAGGGTTGCTTTAAATTACTACCACACCTTCTCTGGAACCCTTTTTATCTGGAAACTTGGAAGTCCAGATGTTAATCAGTAATGAGGGGGAGAGGAAAGGGAAGGAGAAGAGTCTGTTTTCTGGACAGTAAGGTGCAGGTTAAAGACAGGTATTTCCCCTCTCCCTTCCTTGGTTCCTCACAGTTTTTGGAGTGATGGTGGAGCAACAAGGTATAGATTAGAACAGTCTCCACAAACAAAATGTGTCATACAAACAACCTGCTCGTTTTTTTCCAGACCAGACAATCTTTGCATAGTACATGCCATGAAGGAGTGGTAAATCCAGCTCAGATTGTGTTGTTTTTTTTTAACAGATTAAAAAAAAGCACAAAAAACCTGTCACAACCAAGTCACTCATAACTCGTACATTTCTTTGATTGGGTTAAGCTATGGCTTTTGCTTTTGCTAACTCAGTAAACTAGGGATGCCAGCCTTCAGGTGGGACCTGGGGATCCCCCGGAATTACAGCTGATCTCCAAACAACAGAGATCAGTTCCCCTGGAGAAAATGGCTGCTTTAGAGGGTAAACTCTGTGGCACTGTACCCCACTGAGGTCCCTGTCCCCCCCCCAGGCTCCACCCCCAAATCTCCAGGAGTTTTCCAACCTGGATCTGGCAACCCAACCCTGCTGGTAGCCAAGGGAAACCTGGCAACCCCACAGTAAGCCAATGGGGCTAAGTAAAACACAGAGGCAGCAAACCTGAAGTGTTTTCTTTCTTTGGAAAAAAATATTCTTTGTTGTGTCACCTCACTGTAAGAGCCCCTTTACATCTCTGTTCAAAGTTTGTGCAACTGTACAGAGTGGAGGGTGGGGAGGTTAGGCTTCTCCTTATTTCAACCACATATTTGGGGCAAAATTGCCCAGATGTCCTAAAACCCAACACATGAAGCTGCTTTATACCGAGTCAGTCCACTGATCTTTCATAGTACTGTTTGCTCAGACTGGTAGCAGCTCTCCAGAGTCCCAGGCAGAGATCTTTCACATGACCGGCTACGTGATCCTTTTAACCGGAAAGGCCAAGAACAGAATCAGGGACCTTCTGCCTGTAAAACAGATGCTCTGCCGCTGAGCCACAGCCTCTGCCTGACCCTGAAATCTTTGGAAGAAGCTGTACGAACTTGGGGAGGCAGACTGGGAAATGGAACACCCTCATAACAAAAGTGCAATTCTCACATTCTGGAGGATCAGGTGCCAGAATGGATGGCTCCGCTGCTGGCTGCGGGTGGTGGGGATCCTAGCGTCGAATGTCCCTTCACGCAAAACCAAAGCAACCTCCGTGCGAGCTAGCACAACTGAAAGGAAAGTTCTGTGGCCTCTCTTTGCTTCCTATCCTGCGTGTCTACTTGCAGGGGACTCCCCCCCCCAACCCCCAACCCTAGAGGAGCATCCCAAAATGTGATCTTCTTAAGATCTGCCACCTGCATCTCAGGTGGGGCAATCTACCCTTGCCTTTCGGCATACTGTCCCCTCGATTCTTCTGCATGGATGAACCAAGCCTTAAGTTTTATGCGTGCCGTGATGATCGTCCGCTTGCAGGACATCATGTGAAAAGAGGGCTACTGCTTATTGCCGTCTTGCCTTTCAGCATACTGTCCCCTCGATTCTGCTGCATGGATGAACCAAGCTTAAGTTTTATGCGTGCCGTGATTATCGTCCGCTTGCAAGACATAATGTGAAAAGAGGGCTACTGCTTATTGCCGTTAGGCGAGGACCAGGCTTCCGGCTTCCAGAGGCAGCAGCGCTGGTGCCCCACCACTTTGGGAAGCTGCCTCTGAGACATTCTGAGGGCACTTCCAGCTCATTTTTGAGGTTGCGTGTTCAGCACAGCTTTGCGCATGTGATTTTTAAAAACTATTTGGCACAACACTGAGGGCTGCGCCTTTAAAAAGAAAACAACCCCAAGGTGATGGAGGTGTTGAAAAGTGTCTAATGCAAAGTAATTCTTAAAAGATAATGAGTTTTAAGCCACCTGGGGCTCTTCCTTGCAAAATTTGAGGAACATTTTCTGGGTTTCTTTCCAGTCTCCCAACTTTACAAATGCTACCCTAAACAACAATTTGGACTAATGTCCTCATTTGCTAGTAAAACCTTTTTTTTTGGGGGGGGGGGAGCCTTTTGACTCTGAGGCTGGTGGTAACCCAAGGTTTTTAGGGAGACTCCTACAGCCTGCTAGCCACTGTATACTCATCCCATTATCATTGGTGCCTACAGGTTCTATAGGTTTATATTCAGAAACCTACAAAACCTGTTGGAGCCAGAGAAGAATCAGACAAGAGATATGAGTGTACAGTCTGCAGGCAGGACTCCTCCATCGTACACCTTCAGTTCTCTCGAAAAACGATCGCCTGTCTCCTGCTTTGGCGTGATGTTGAAGCAATCTCATCACTGCTTCAAAGCTGAGCTGGAAAGGAGCTGTATGAATGGACCCTGAGCTAAGTGCTAAAGGGGAGAGGAGATCTCCTTTACATGATTGCTTAACGTATAGCGAAGGCACTTCCACTGGATAGCAATTTGCCTATACATATGTACATACAATGCTCAAGATTTCAGCTTATGAACACCTCCTTCCCTCCATACGATATACAAAAGCATCTAGGGCCTAAGTGACATGCAGGAAGGATTAAAATAGATTGCAATTCTCCTGGATCCTCTAGGACCATGATTGTCTTTCACGTGAGTGCCTTGGCACCTCAGGGAGGGAGGAGTCTTCTGCTCTGTCTAGGGAGAGGGGAAGACCCCTTGACCAACATTACCTGACGTCTAGAAAGTCAGGTGTGGGGAAATGTGCCCTGCTTCTTAAGACGAGGCACACCCACACGCTGCCCTTCTTGCTGGAGTACCAGGTGAACCTTCCCCGGCCCTATAGGCAGATGAGCGAGGAGCACAAGAGCTCTTGCCGATGCCGCCCCCGTCCCCTTTAGTGCACAACAATTACCTCTGCAGCTTGCTTTGGCAGGCTCCGAGATAACCCATGGCTCGCAGCTTCCTACCGGTTTGGCAACCTTTCCTACACTGTCGTCTCACTCTTCCAGAGACCCGTTCTCATGCCCGCCGTGCTGTCGGCGCTGGTGAGGTTGATATCGTACTTGCTGCCCTTCAGACCCCCGTTCTGGTTGGCCACGTTGAGCGGGAACGATCTCCTCTTAGTCTCTTTGTCCACGGCGCTGGCCTGGTGCTTGAGGTTCTCTCTGCTGGTGCTCCGCCGCTGGGCTCTGCCAAAGTCCGCTGCCCTGTGACTGCTGCTGCCACCCCCGTCACTCAAGTCTGACTGCGTGAGGGCCAAGTCCAGGTTGGGAACCGGGCCCTGGTGCAGATTGTTCAGCGGGCTGTTCCGGCTGCTTTGGTAGCTCTCTGAAAGGCTGTTGTGGAAGCTCCCACTCTCGCTGGTGGGGTGATATGAGGAAGGCCCCCGCAGCGCTTTCAGCCGCTGTTGCTTCCCTTCCCGATACTGCTTAGTCCTGCTTTTGTGGTGCCTGCTGCGCCCGTGGAGGTTGTTGGCGTACCTGGGGGCAGGGTTGCTCTTGCCGGTGGGCGTCTCTGGATCCTCGTAGCAGGGGGTCGGCAGAGGGTTGCTCTCTGCTTGCCCAAGAGCCACCTGCAAGTTGTTGAGCTTGCAGGAACCCGGGGCTGAATTTGTGCTGCTGGGGGAGGACGAAGACTTGGCGGAGTGAGCGGCCTCCGGGCTGCAGCCGATGAAGACCTGCGAGCCGTCCTCCACCCCCACCCCTGGGTGCACGTAGGCTTGCATCGGCAAAGCATTCCTGTAAGACGGGCAGCAGGCAAACCAGGAACTCTGCACGTCCCTACGACGGACACAGTGGTGAACGACGATAAAGAGCCCCAACACGATGGCGGTGACTCCATAGAGGCAGCTGAAAATGACCTTCAGGAGAAACCAGCGCTGCGAGACTGCTGTGGCTCCAAAGGCCCACAGGGTGATGTACAGGAAATGGGTGATCATCAGCGCCCAGAACTGCACCCCCAGGGAATAGGTGCCATCGGTATCGGCACTATGCGGGCTGGAGTTCAACGTGACCGAGATGGAGCCCGAATCAGTCAAGAGGTTGCTGCTGCCGCCCAGGCGCGGTGGGGTCTCCAGAGGTCTGGGCATCTCTTTCAGATTCTTGGCTTGGCACTGCAAGCTGATGCCGGCACACAGGAAGTAAATCCAGGTGATGAGCAAGATGAAAGCCACGGGGACGTAGAATGCCCCAATGCTCGGCCTGCAAGCCAGCCAGCAACTGAGCAGCAGGGGTGGGATGGAAAAAGAGGGGGGGGGGAAATCAACTAAGTAAGCAGCAAATGACCCATGCCCAGGCGGGCAGCATCTAGAAGTGGGAGGTATTGTCTTAAGATCCCCCTGGGAGAAGTGAGAAAAGTTATACCTATTCTCTTAATTCTGATATTCTGGTTGAGGTGGCTTCCACAATAACATAAAGTTTACTTAGGCCTCTCTCTCTGGCCTGCCCTGCCCTAGATAGTCCAGGCTAATCAGATTTTGGAAGCTAAGCAGGGTCCTGCCCTGCCCTGCCCTGCCCTAGAGAGTCCAGGCTATGATTTTGGAAGCTAAGCAGGGTCGGCCATGGTTAGTATTTGGATGGGAGACCACCAAAGAAGTCCAGAGCAATGCTCCCTCTAAGCTGTGGAGTCTTGTGAGCAAAAATTCTACTTTGTGAGCCACTGGCATTAAAGTTGTGAGCGAGCGATTTCGCTACTGCATAAACTAGTCTGCTCTGGAGCCGTCCTTCCTGAGCTAAGGCAAAAATGTGTGAGCCGGAGGCTTAAAAACTGTGAGTTAGCTCACACTAACTCAGCTTAGAGGGAACACTGGTCGAGAGTCACTACACAGAGGCAGGAAATGGCAAATCACCTCTGAATGTCTCTTGCCTTGAAAGCCCAACAGGATTGCTGTTAAGTCAGCTGCAACTCAACAGCACTTTCCACCACCATATACATACTGGTAAGAAGACACATACAGGATGGGGCACATTTTTTAAAATAAATCTGCTGGGGAAAAGTCAGCGTGGTGTGGTGGCTAGAGCGCTGGACCAAGCCTGGGGGAACCGGAGTTCAGATTCCCATTCAACTATAAAGCTCAGTGGCTGACCTTGGGCCAGTCACTCTCTCTAATGCGACACGTGTTTGGAGGGTTCAGCTCCCTTCGCCCACATTTCTCTCCCATTTACAAAATCAGAACTCCCACCCTGTGCGGACTGGGATAGGCCCATTTTTAAACAAAAGGTTCTGCTGCTGTGCAAGCCTGATTCTCTGGTAATGCGCATTTTTATGACACATTAACAAATAGATTAAAAGCCCCACCCTCATGAACAAGACCTTTTGATCAAGCAAGAGCCCAGGGCAGAATGCAAAGTATAGCTACTTGCAGTGTTCCCTCTAAGCTGAGTTAATGTGAGCTAGCTCACAGTTTTTTAGCCTACGGCTCACACATTTTTGTCTTGGCTCAGGAAGGAGGGCTCCAGAGCAAACTAATTTATGCAGCAGCCAAATCGTTCGCTCACAACTTTAATGCCAGTAGCTCACAAAGTAGAATTTTTGCTCACAAGACTCCACAGCTTAGAGGGAACATTGGTGTGGATGATGTAACTTGCCTTCTACCAGCGGCAGAATCAACAAGTCATGTGCAGGCACATTCCCTTGGCCAGTTGGCAGCAGTCATAACTTCCACCATGCTTGGCCATGCAGGCACTCCCAAATGGGATAAAAGGAGGACCTGTTGTCACCAGCAACATAATTTCGGTCCAAAACGAAGGCTCCATATATATGTGTGAAGCTTAAGCATACAAAGCAAATGTTGGGATCGCTTACTAGGAGTCATGGTCCCCGTAATTGTGGATGTTGACAGCTGCTGTAATCCCACAGATGATGAGGGGGATTCCGCCGGCAATCAGGTAAAACCTGAAGCACAGAGGGAAAACACCATTAGCAGAGCGCCTCTCCTGAATGCCCCAAGGTACAGAGACAACGGGAGAAGAAACCACCATATCACATTTTTCTTCCTCCAAGGAGGTTGAAATCTTAGAACGGGGATTCCCTTGCAGGCCAAGACTCAAGACTCAGATCACGATTCCTTCCCTCCCCACACTCCTTGCATCCCCCTCCCCAAAAGACCCTCCTGTCTTCCTTCTTTCTCTGTACCGCAGCATTGGGCGTGGGGCCGGCAGAGGCGCTTCCCCTTCCTGCTGCTGTGGGGCCTTCCACGTGGCTTCCTTGTAGATCACTCGAGCCATCACAGCCATCCACAGGAGAGTTGACAAGGAAGAGTAGTGCAGAATGATGCCAACCTGCAGGGAAATGGTCTTATTGGAAGACACCGACATCTGCCCGAGTGGCTTGTTCAGGAACACTGCTATGACAATTCCCCCCGCCCCAGGATCCCTTTATATTTTCTTCTTATTGGCTGGGCAGCCCCTTTTCTTTTTTCTTCGTTCTGTCTGATCCACCCAGTTGTTTAAATGTCTATAGATATATGCCGACCCAGTCTAGAGACCTGAGGGACTGACGAAAACCCTTCTTTTATCTTTGTCTGACAATGGCATATGAGAGGCTGACAGTAATTCAAGAACTAACAAAGTGTTTTATTTTACTTATAAGGGGAAATGGTCAGGTAGGTATCACGTTTAGGACTTAGAAGGTAAGCAGGCAACAGGAATGAGGTAACTGTATAAACAATAGTTAGTTTGTCACAAGCATGTAGCAGTTTAGTTATACAGACAAGTCTTTAAAACTTGAGGAGAGAGATTTCTTGGCAGTTTCTGCTTAAATAAATAAGCATAAGCTTCTTTGCAAGTTCTTTGTAAGTTTTTAAGTTGGTGAAGGCAGGAACATTCACACAAGTTCCAGTATCACTTCCTAACCACTTGATATGGATCACTCCCTTTACTAGGAGCTATTTCCCTCAGGCTCAAATGAGGATCCTTCTCGATCCTCTCACTCTCTTAACCTTCCTTCCAGTCAATTTTCATTTCTTAACTGCCACCAATGCTCCTTCTAAGCTGTGGAGTCTTGTGAGTAAAAATTCTACTTTATGAGCTACTGGCATTAAAGTTGTGAGCAAGCAACTTGGCTACTGCATAAATCAGTTTGCTCTTGAGCCATCCTTCCTGAGCTAAGACAAAAACGTGTGAGCCAGAAGCTAAAAAACTCGGCTTAGAGGGAACACTGACTGCCACTCTCAACTGTAGAATTCCACTTGAATCCCCTGTCACTCAAGGTTCTCAGACCAGGTTAAAGCATTAACCATTTACTGTTCATCACAGCTGCATAGATTGCAATGTCTTACAGACAGATCAGCTTGTGCAGGGGGGAAAAGAATGCAATGCAAATATGTGTGCTCGGCTGAGAGGCATATGGAGTGGATAATCCCTGCCTGTAGACTGATTTGCTGGAGATTCGTCTCTTCGTAGGACATCTTTGTAAGCTAGGTAACAGCTAGTTGCTGTAGCTGGCCCTGGAACAACCTTCTTGTTCTCATAGCACTTGTCTGCTGCTGCCATTTTGTATTGTATTTAGAGAATCTCTTTGGCCATCATAGCCATAAACAGACCACACCTGCCTGAGTTTGCCTAATTCCTGCATTACAGCTCTCTTAAACCAATGGTCACTGCTACTTTCTGCAGCAGTTATTTCTACACTATACATTGTGTGAGAAAGGACTTGGGACTTATTTTATTGGCCTGAATCCCTGCATTACAGCTCTCTTAAACCAATGGCCACTGCTACTTTCTGCAGCAGTTATTTCTACAAATTAACTACACATTGTGTGAAAAAGGACTTGGGACTTATTTTATTGGCCTGTCCTTAATCTACTGCCAAACAATATCATTGGGGGCCCTCAAGTTCTAGTATTATGGGGGGAGGAGACAAAAACTCCATCCATTTGGAGAAAGTATAGATCACACACACACACACACACATGTATTTTCCATAAAACTAGAAGCTGGACTCCTCCAATGGAATTGATTGGTTGCAGATTTGAAAGAAAAGTATTTCTTCACACAACGTATGTGGGATTCATAAGACAAGGCAGCTGGCCACTGTTTTAGACAACTTGAAAAGGAGGATGGATCTATCAGCAGCTATTAATCATGATGGATAAAAGAAGACTTCATGTGCAGAGTTAGCATACCTCTAAATACCAGCTGCAAGAGGAGAAGGTAAGTTAAGCAGTAGTGGAGGTCTACCATCTTCGTGCTCTACTTCTGGGAAGCATCTGGCTAACTTCTATTGATAAGGGCACCTCTTATGTTCTTACCACTAAGCTTCTCTGCACTTTATAGGGCAATATGTTTATCATGGAAACACCGGCATTTGCCACCACAAATGCATAACAAGTAGATACATGTCTCCTTCCTCAAATGCCAGTTTACATGCCCTTGGGAACTCCAGCAGGAGGGATGCCCGCACAGCCTCAGCAAATGCTAGGAGATTTCGAAGGGGTGCCTGGGGAGGGTGGAGTTTGGAGAGGACATGATGACACTTTAGGAATTTCCCTTAATCTCTGTGGTAAAGGCCACAGAGACATGGGGAAATTCCTAGAGTGTCACTATGGAGGCTACTTCCTGGCCATTTTTCCTCCCACTCCTCAGTTTCTCAAGGGCAGGCAACTGGGGCCGAGGGCAGGGTTTTACCCTCTGTGAACGACAAATGGCAAGCCCATTCAGTTAGGTTACAGCTCCCGGAGCGCATACGAAGGTCTATCTGCCCTCCACCACTTTATGCATTTGGTGCCTGAAACACTAGTGTGCTGCTGTTACAATGTGTGTCTGCAATGGTGGTACTGTTATGAAGAGCATCAGGCCAAGGCTGACCATACTCACTGCTTGACAAATGACCAAGTAGTCAGTCAGGGTGATACCGCCTGCGAACACAGCAGATGTCATGGCAATGTGGAAGCAGAGGTTGAGCAGCATGTGCCAGCACTTACGCGAGATGTGGATGGTGCTGAGAAAGAGCCCCCAAAGAAACACAGGCTTTGGTTAGTCTGGGATGACAAGCAAGTGGACCCAAATTGCACAGAACTTCCTAGCCCTAAGCAAGACGAACAGCTTGATACTAACACATTGAGGGCTGAACTGCACCTTATGAACAGTTCTGTGATACGGGGCTGTCAATGTTTCCTTTCCAGCCACTGGCCTACTTCATCCAGTACTACCCAGGATCTCAGTCAAAGGAAAATTCCTTCCCACCCGAGATTCCCTAACTGCAGACAAACAGAGAGGGCAGATGGTTGCCAACTGCAACATCTCCGCTTGCTTTAGTTTGCTTTTCTAGTCTCCAGGTACAAAGTTCCAGCTTGGCCAGAGGCGTGACCCTTTGGGCATAAGGCAAAGGGCTCTTGGTCTATATGGCTTGTGCCCTTTGGCCTTGGGCAAGCTACCCCGCTGGATTCAAGACTGGCTCAAGATACAATTGACGTAAATTGTATTCTTTCCTTCTGCTGTATTTCATTGTGATTTTTAAATTATTGCTGTACCCCCTTTGGGGCGAAAAACACATGCTAAAGAAGTAAGAAAGACATGCAACCCATCTGCTTGTCCACTGGGACCCAACCCCTTCCAACTATGGGGGTCTCAGCAACATGAGTCTGCCACTGGGACCAGAAGGCTGCTCACCTGTGGTTGACGATATAGGTGATGATGGTGGCAAACAGGCAGAGGAGGAGGAGGGCCGTGCAGGTGTAAATGACAGGATGCAGCACTTCAGCTGGGCTCTGTGACTCGCGTGGGAAATTGCTCAGCTCCTGCATTGGAGAATAGGGTTAACTGACTTGAGATGGGGCAGGGGCGTCAGGAATTAAGACAGCTAGTGGCAGCTCGGGGAGGGGGGTGGTCCTCACTGTTCCGCCCCCTAGGGAGATCACAGCAGTCTTGAAGAATTTGGAGTCTAAGCAGTTAAAGGGCAGGGCATAAATATTTTACATTAAATAAACAAACAAAGCGTCATCCTTCATAGAAATAAGCCTGTGTCACTATGGCATGCCCTCCTTCAAGAAGTTCATTTACTTTCTTCCTCCTGCATCCTTTCAGAGGCAAGTGAAGAGGTCTGTGTTCCGTCAGACTTTTGAGCGTCCCACCCTTAAACACATTCTGCTGCTGTTTCATTTTATGCAGTTCTTGTTTAAGTGACAACTGTTACGTTTTCTGATTTAATTCTAATTAATTTCCAGGACTTCCTAGATGTCCTCCAGCAGATGTCCTCCAGCAGACCTTCTCCATTAAGCATTGCCATGATTTATGCTCCTCCACTCCACAAGTCTCCTTCACGTGCCTCCTATCCACCTGTCAGGGGCCAATGAAGCAGGGCTAAAAGGAGCCTGAGTGTCAACATTACACCTTCTCCAGAATCTGTCCAATCAGGACACTGGAAATTGCCCTAGAGGCCTCTGGGATGTTGCAGGAGGCCTCTGAGGTGTTCCCCCTTTTCCTGGCCAAGCTTCTCCACTCAGCAGAGGGCAATCTGGTGGCCATGGTCCACAGGAGGTGCCTTACCATTCTTAACCTCTGCAAGTAACGTTTGGGCATGCCTGTGCCCTTCCACCCACTCCCAGCCCTGTTCTACCTCATGCCTACCATCAGGACAGCAACGTTGCTGAGGTGCCGGCAGCTGATGGTGGTGACGTTGAGCTCAAGGCCAATCAGCTGACAACCTTCTGCTCTCCAGCTGCCATAGCCGGCCAGCACATCGAAATCCCAGTATGCGGCCATGCGGTCAGTCCCCTCACCCAAATGCCGCAGTGAGAGAAGGACAGGCTCCGTGAGGTTGTTCACTCCACAGCCATCTGGGGAGGGAGACAGAGGGTTTGGCAAAGGGGCCGCACAAGCATCACCGTGCAGTGTTCCCTCTAAGCTGAGTTAGTGTGAGGTAGCTCACAGTTTTCTGGCCTCCGGCGCACACATTTTTGTCTCAGCTCAGGAAGGACGGCTCCAGAGCAGACTAACTTATGCAGTAGCCATATTGCTCGCTCATTACTTTAATGTCAGTCGCTGACAGAGTAGAATTTTTGCTCACAGGACGCCACAGCTTAGAGGGAGCATTGGTGCAGACCCTAATCATTCACTGATCAGCATCCAAAGCAAGGGCTCTACTCCTGAGCCACTGCCCCCTTACTCTTGCCCTGCAAGGCAAAGGAGCCAATGGGGTGTTCCTGTATAATGCTCACTCTGATCCCACCCACCCCTGCCACAGGCACCAGCCCTTACGTGTGCCTGAATAGATCACCGGCGTGGCCACGCTGCGCCGCTTGCCGTCGTCGGCAAGGTGAGAAGAGTTGCCGGTGCTGCAGAAGAGCTTGCCGTTGCGGAACACCAGCACCTGGAGCTTGCATTTGGCGGGAGGTGGATGTGGGGATGCCGGCGAAGAGAAGAGGCCTGGAGGTAGCTGAATGGAGGCCAGAGCAATGCTGTTCTGATGGGACAGGGAACAAGAGGTGAGCAGAAGAACCCCACAAAGCCGATCCAAGACTAATCGCCCTTCACCGCCCCCCTGGGAAAAGAAAGGCACAACAGGCACCTTCCGAGTTCCGTCTCAGTGGCCCCTTAATCTTATACAGTGAACATCTCCAGAAAGTACCTTTTAAAAGCTACAGATGTCAATTAGTCAGTTAACACAGGAGGTCAGATTCACTAGCAGAGCCATTACTTACTTTACGCCTTGTGCATATAAAGCAAAGAGGGATGGGCACTATTTTTGTTTTAGGGAATGGAGGCACATGTCGTAAGAGGCTGGAAGAGGCAACCCTCCTGGGGCTTGAGAGAAAGAGGAACAGCTGTTCCTAAGTGGAACCAGGCTGTCAACCAGAATTTTTGACAGAATTTATATTAAACACAATAAATCCTTCCATGCCCATGGAAAACTGGATCTCTGCTTGCATCTTGCTCTCCTTCCATCCTTGTCTTCCATCTACAGCGCAGAGTTGATTTGCATCTGTCCTATCCCAGGAATTTTAGGGTCCTATCCTCTACCCCACCCTCCTATCATGACCCCCCAAGGTCCGTCCGTTCGTCCATTTGTCCTTCCTTCCCACTTCCCTCACCTTGACATGGAAGCTGGCCAGAGAGATGTTGGGCCGTCCCGTGGTGCAGCGGAACTTCAGCTGCTGGTCTGCTGGGGGCTCACTGTATCGCTCCTGACGTGGGGGCCGCCCACCGAGCATCATCTCGCGCTTCTGGAATGCTGTGCAGCTCAGGCCCATGTAGCTTTCCGGCTTGATCAGGTAGGCCTCAAAGGCGATATTCCTGGAGTTCTGTCAGAGCAAAAGCCACAAGATTGCCTCCTAAGCAAGGATACCGTTGGGAAAACTGTGAGGACCCATTTGTAGGCTACCACACCTTTCCTGCTCCTCCAATAGGTCTGCCACTGACTTTCAGGTTTGCCATATTCCCCACGTTCCCAATCATTTGTTAATGAAGCAAATCAAGCACATTTCTCATGTTCCCTGCTGCTTTGCACTTGCTCCTGGGAACTATTCACAAAAAGCTAGGCCAGGATCAGAGGCAGGATTGGCTCACGTTTCACAAATGAGGTCACCACCGCTGAACACGTGGAGCTTGCTTATTCTGAGTCAGCCCATTGGTCTATCAAGGTCAGTATTGTCTACTCTGACTGGATCTTCATGGTCTCAGGAGATCATCTTTTAACCGGAGGTGCTGAGGACTGAACCTAAGACCTTCTGCATGCAAAGCAATGCTTTACCACTGAGCCACAGCTTGCTACTTACTGTCAACCAGAGCATAACCTGTGATGAAGATCTGACTCCTACCTACTATCCTTCCCTCACCGTCTTAGCCCTGTGATCTTCTGTTTCCCCAGAACTCCTTGACAGGAACGTCCAGTTTCACTGGCAACCTTCAGTCTTGATCCACAGTCCCCATCCAAGTCTCACGCCTGGCCTCTTACTCCCCGTGATTCCACCCGGCTCACCATCCCGAAAAGCCTGTGCCCCTACCACGGAAATGTGCTGTGAGTTGGTGCTGAGCGTATAGCTGGCAATCTTCTCCAGTGAGCGGACGATGCTGGTGCAGGCCTTGTCCTCAATCTGAGCCATCCACAGGACGTGGTCGTCCACCAGCATCATGTTGCTGGCCATCTCCACAATGACATCTGTGAGCTAGGCAGAAACCAGAGATTTCGGAGGTGAAGCACTAGGAAACCTGGAGGGAACTTGAAGTGTTTAGCACGTGCAGTAGATTTCCTGGGCGGCGTACACAAAGGCAGAAAACAAGCCAAAGTTGAAACAAAGTGGAAAATAGGGGTGGGATTCAGACTGGGAAAACAGAGGAGGAGGGAGCTAAAAAAAACCAAACCCCTCACACTGGGCTACTTTTCAGATCCAATTAGCAGCCCTTCCATGGCTGTTAAACATAAGAGCAAAAGAGGAGCCCTGCTGGATCAGATCAGTGGCCCCATCTAGACCAGCATCCTGTCTCACACAGTGGCCAACCAGTTACTGAAGTGGTTCCTCAGTGTTCTGAAGTGATAATTAAAATACAGAGAGGTCTGATCATCCATCTCCCACATCTCATTTGCTTTCGGTCCACAAAAGAACTTAACAGCTTGACCACTATGTTATTCTGGATTGTTTAAATGGACAAAAGATGACAAATTGGGGGCAGAGCCAAAAAAGCATAGGGTGGAGGTGGAACTGGGCAGGGGATTAATTACTCAGAGAAGCTTAATAGGGGAGCAAGGGTGGAGGTGGAACTGGGCGGGGGATTAATTACTCAGAGAAGCTTAATAGGGTGCTCCATGATAAGAACCAAGGAAGGCTGGTGGGGAGGAATTTCGGCAGCATTCCTGGCCCCCATTTCCTACTTTTATGTCACTGGTCTTCAGCTAGTAAATCTGGAGGCATTAGTGGGTCACAGCCCAAAGACTGGTATATAAACGGCACCACCCCTATTTTCTTTGCAGTTCTTTTTAAACGTTTCACTCAGATGTTTTCCTCACAATGCAATCTTAGCCAATCAGGGATCATGTTGTTGATGATAATGCCAATCAGATATGACACCGCGACACCACCGAGGGCAAATGTAGCCAATTCAAAGTGAGGGCAATGCTTCCCGCTTTACCCTCCCCTTGCTCTGGATGGGCATGGAGAAAGAACACTTGGTAGGCAGGAGAGAAAGGTAGAGTGGCTTCTGTTACAATCACGGCTGCCTCCTAAGGAAAAGGGTGAAACTGTAATCTCCCTTCCCAGTCAGCAAGAATAAGGGCAACTTATCAATGAATTCAGATGTGTAACCGAGAGGCAACTATGGAGATCTGGTGATGGTAAGAGGGTCAGACTGGAACCGGGGAGACCTGAGTTCACATCACCTCTCAGCCCTGAAGGTCACGGGGTGACCTTGAGCCAAACACTTGCCTTTAGGCTAGCCTACGACATAGAGTCGTTGCGGACGTAACAGGGAGAGAACTCTATTTGCCTCTCTGAGCTCCTTGGAGGAAAAGCAGGATTAAAATGTCACAGCTAAAAAGTAACAGCTGGGTGGAAAAGCCGCATCCACATGTTGCAAAATCATCCAAAGATTGCTTCCTGGCCACTGGCAATTTTATATTTCTGTTATTAAGCTTCCTTGCATCTCTTTTCAATGTCCCTATGCGTAAAAAAGCTTTTATGAACATCAGTTTCATTATAACTCAGGATAAAAGGTTTTGTTGATGTGAATTTTTTTAAGGTGTCCTTTTTGTGCTGGGTACCTTTTTGATCATATTGATAACATTACTTCACATTATTTAGCACTGACAGTGTTGAGAGCACTTAAGACATATGTCATCCCAGTGATCCTTCCAACAGCCCTGTAGGGTAGGCTGGTATTATTATCCCCGTATTGCAGATGGATAGGACTAAGGCTGACCAGCACCAGGATCTCATAGCCACAGTGCTGGGCCCATTCCCGCCCTGTTGCTTTCAAACTATGATAACTAAGGCATGGGGGGGAACTAAAACAAAGCATGAGCCCCTTTTTGTTGCCTGTCAACAGAGCAGTGAAGTGAGGGGAGGGGGTCTGTTTCCGCTCAGCCTGGGTGTGTCTTTTTCCACTCTTGCATGGCAAGTTGAACATGCTGAAATTCCTTCTGCGGTCCAGTGATTAAAAACACAGTAGATGTTTGCATCTGGCCACCCTAAAAAGCGTATATGATTTTTTTTAAAAAAGGTCTTAAATTGCACTTCAGGGACAGGCCTGCAAAGGTGAAATACGATTTCTTTACATGTCTCTTCTGTTTTTCTGCACGTTCACCAATGTGGCACGGGAAATACTTCTAGTTAAACAATATCCCTGACCCAACCTGTAAATCCGCTGTGGAGCAAGAGGTGTAAATGAAGCCAATCTTTTTTTGTTAAATATATATATATTTGTTAAATATATTTTTATTTTTAAAAGTAATAATAATAATAATAGGGTTAAAAAAAAGTGGGGATTATATAGAAAGTTGTGTATATTAGAGATTGTGGACACTGCAGGGTATATCAAACAAGAAGGTGAAAACTATTTCTCCCCAACATCCTTTTCCTGCAGGCTGTGGAAGGTCAGTAGTTCAGCAGTTTGAGACCCGGGTACCGCATGATGGAGTGAGCTCCCATCTCTAGTTCCAGCTCCTGCCAACCTAGCAGTTCGAAAGCAAGAAATTGCAAGTAGATAAATAGGTACCGCTTCGGTGGGAAGGTAACAGCGTTCCGTGCGCCTTGGTGTTTAGTCATGCCGGCCACATGACCATGGAAACATC